AATTTGAGTTACAAGAAACTACACTCGCTGCGAACAACAAGCATAGCACAAACACCACACCGAAGCCAAACCAAAGACGGTCAACACCGCAAAGCAAGCTACAAAGCAAAGAGCCTATCCTCATCTACACACAACACCGCGTCTCGACTGAAACCGAACATCTCCAAAGAACACCAACTCCCGCAACACTTCACTTGTCGACGCACCATCCACTCTTATCGCCTAGAATAAGTGGCGAGTGGGTGGCAGGACTCGATCCGATCCGAGGAAGATGCAATCTTGGACACACCGGCGACGGGCGTACATAGCGCCGTAGAGCATCAATGAGGACAACGGCGAACACCGGAGGAGAGCGACGAGGAGCCGGTCATGTCTCCAAACACAATGCTCTCAATAGAGGAACGACGTCGAGGACGCCGCCATTGTGCCGATCCAACCGAATCAAAGGCTTTCGCCCGGAGACCACCACAACTCCAAGTAAGCGAGGGACATGCCGAACACGCCTCAACGACGCCTCCAAGGAGGGGAATGACATCCATGGGTGCCATCGCCATCGGCCGACGGAAGTCGTGCAAGATTTTCATCCGCGCGTCGCACACCACCACACCACCTAGACTTTGGCAACACCGTCCAAGAAGCTTCACACTGCCGCCACCGCAACGCTTCGCCAAACGTAGCTGCAAAGCCGAGAGCAGACGACCGAACACACGACAAGGAGCACACCAGCCACACCATCAGCGCCTCGCCTGGACAAGGAACCGCAGCCATCCCACACCTCCGGCAAGGCCCAAAATGCCAGCAACAGCCATCGCCCACTCCAAGGGACAGCCTTGCGACGGCTGGACCCGCATCTCCATGAAGCCAAGCTGCACCACCGGGAGAGCACCGCCGCTCATCACACCGCACAGAGGTAGCCGGCCGCTCGCTGCTCGCCAAGACTCCATCTTGGCCGAGCCTCACAACGCCGACTTCACCACCTGGCCGCGGAATCGCCGCGCTGCCTCCGGACGGCGCCGCAGCCACCCAACCACGCCAATGCCTTGCTGCCGACTCCTGTCTGGCCCGCCGCACCACAGGGCCTCCTGCCGAGCTCCGACCGCCGCTCCCCACCTCCGACCGCCGCACACCAGCCACACCATCAGCGCCTCACTGCATCGTTGTCAATACCATGGGAGGAAGTTGGCCATAAGCACAAAAGAGGAGGACTAGAGAATCATCTACAAAACACATGTGACATCAACCACCTGCAAAAAAAGAAGGCCAAAGTGCCAGGTGACATTCGCCAAAATGAGAACCGTTAATCCACATGATTGACACACATATGCTCCAAAGTATCGACCACGGACCACCACCGGGCCATGTTAGGCCAACTCCACCACACGACCCTAAAACTCACCTCATTTTGTCCGGATTTTGTCCGTATGGGGTAGAAATAGGGAGAGAAAATGCCGGACAGAGGCCGGACAAACTCGCTGCACGCAGCGCTGCTACCCCATTTTTACCCCATTTCACCAGCTGTCCGTCCTCGTCATTTCTTCAAACACGTAGCAGGCATAGCGAACTCGCCGCCGCGGCCGCCTCGTCCGCCCAAGCTCGCCGCCGCGCCCCGCGCCCGGGCCAGGCCACCCGTGCCGCCGCGCCGCGTGCCCGTGCCAGGCCGCCCGTGCTACCGCGCCCGCGCACGCCGC